GTGGATGACTGTGACTTACTTATTGAAAGAAAAATCTCTTCATTGTGGTGAAGCAAGAACCAACTATATGTGGTATATGAGATACTTCTAAATCAAAGTAATACAGACAGGCTAAAAATAAACACAAAGATGTTCCAGGCAAATTGAAAATAAGTGAGGATTGTGATCTTGGTATCAGACAAAGTAAATCTAGGCTAACAAATAACCAATTGTGACAGAGAGGAAAGTATAAAATTAAAAGCCCATTTTATAATGCAGGTATAATTATGAAAATGTATGCACGAAAACCATCATTCGTTTATTTTGCAGTATTGGGACTGAACCTAGCGCCTGGTGCATGCCAGGCAAGTGCTGTATCACTGAGGGGTCGCATCCATATTTACAAAGCAGAAACTACAGATACAAGGAGACACAGATGGAAACATACTGCTAGTAGCCAACTTTCGGGGCAAAGCAGATCAAATGACAGAACTATAAGGGTACAGAAAAACTGAACAACATAATAGGTAAAATAGATTTCATTGATCTACACTGGCTGGACTTTAGAACCTAATTAGAGAATGTACCTTCACTGCTCATGGAGGAGTTAAAAAAATCATTAAATCTTCGATCACAAAGAAAGAGCAGTAAACTGTTTACCATAGGGCCAGCGATATAGCTCAATGGCACAGTGCCTTCCTGGCAAGTGCAAGGTCTTGGGTTTGATTTCTGGTACCCAAAAAAAAAAAAAAAATTCTGTACCATAGGAAGATTACAAACAGTTCTCTTGTCATGGTGCAATAAATCTAGAATTAAAGAAAACAGACTTGGGCTGAGTTTGGTAATCCCAGCATTTAGGGAGGCTGAGGCATGAGGATTGCAAGTCTGTGTCAAGCCTGGGCAATTTAGTGAGAACCCTGTTGCCAAACGTGGGGGTGGGAAGGCGTGGGGCGTGTGGGTGGCAATGTAGCTCAGTGTTACAGCGTCCCTTGGCTTTGATTCCCCCCAGTCCTGGATGGAACAAGGACAGGAAAGGAAGAGGAAAGAATTGCTTAAGGTTAAAGGAGAAGAAACATAACAGCTAACTGCTTTGTGGGTACTGGATCAGATTGTGGACAAAACATTATTTGCTATAAAAGATATTGTTGGGGGGCTGGGGATGTAGCTCAGTGGCACAAGTGCCTGCCTGGCAAGCACAAGGTCCTGAGTTCGATTCCTGGTACCAAAAAAAAAAAAAAAGATATTGTAACAATCGCTAAAACCTGAATTTTAGATGAGAGAATAATGTGTTAATTCTAATGTTCAATTTTGCCCATGGTACTTCCATTATATGAGAATGTCCTTATTCTTAGGAAGTAGCACTGAAGTATTTAGGGATCAGGGGCCAGATAGTCTGCAGCTTACTCTACAGTGGGAAAACCTATGGAGAGAATGAGAGAACTGGATATATTTATGTGATCTTGGGTGTCTTCAGAACTTTAGGATGTGCTTCGTGGCAGGCCAACCACCTGGTGGGCTAGGTTAAAGTGCGGACTATTTCCATGTGCTTGAAGCCTGCTTTCCGGGGGGTAGTAACCAGGAACACAATTTATAGGTGAAAGGCACAGAGTCCAGGTTATACGCGTTGATTGTCTTTGAGTCTCCTGGAAGGCAAAAAGAGGCCTGAGGAGCTTTTGTTTCTTTTTGTTTTCTTTCTCTTTCCTTCTTTGTGACTTTCTTTTTTTTTCTTCTTCTTCTTTTTTTTTTTTTGTCTTTTTGAGACAGGGTTTCTTTATGCAGTTGGGGCTGGCTTTGTACTCTCAGTGATCCTGCCTCAGCCTCCTGAGTGCTGGGATTACAGGCATGCGCCACCACACCCGGCATAATTTTTGTTTCTGAAGTTGCAATTTGTTTTAAGATTGTCATTTTAAAATCAAGATTTTCCTGGTCTCCTTTCTACCTGTCATTCCTTCTGTCCTGCCTCAGTTTCACTTGTAGGTAAGCGCACTAGATGACCTCCAAAGGAATAATAATAGGTTATTCACTGCCCTATTGTTGCTAACTAGTGAAAAGCTGGAAACAACCTAACTTCTGTACAAGACAGCAGATGGGGAAGCAATTTGTTATAATCATACAGTGCATTTAAAAATGACCTCTTAGCACCAGGTGTGGAGGGACATGCCTCGGGAGGCCGAGGCAGGAGGATCCTTGTGAGTTTGAGACCAGGCTGGGCTACAAAGTGAGTTCAAGGCCAACTTGAACTGCATAGCCAGACCCTGTCTCAAAAAGACAAAAAAAAAAAAAAAAAAAAAGACCTCTTAGTTACATTTAGAAATCTCAAAAACAATAGCCTGGTGAAACGAAGCAGGTAGCAGATTGGGCACAGTCTCTGACCTGGGTTCAGTCCTCAGCACAAAGAAACAAAAAACAGGAAGCAGAAGCTTGAAGCATAAAAGCATAAAATTTAAGAACACAGAGAATAGTGATGGATATTGTTAGTGCATAAAATAACAATCTCTGTCCTAGAGAAATTTGCAGGCATTTAAAGAAAAGTCAAGTAAACAAAATGTAGGGCAATGAATACTGCGGTTAGAATGGATACAATATAGAGGAAGAGGGGAAGGTCTCATTTCTCAGGAATGGCAAACCTCGCAGGCCTCAGAACCAAGTGCTGAATGACAAGAAGAGTTTACCCAGGTGATAGTAAGGATGATGTCACCTGCAGACCCAGGAGTCCCATGGGCAGTGAGGAACTGGTTCTGCTGGTCCTTCACTTTGTTGGACCTTGGTTGTTTGTGCCCTTTGGGGGGCGGGTAGAGTCTTGCTATGTAGCCCAAGCTGGCCTCGAACTAGCCGTGTGATCCTCCTGCCCCTCAGCCTCCCCAGTGCTGGGATTACAGGTGAGCGTCATCACGCCCAGCTGGTTCGTTGTGCCTTTGATGAAAGAATCCAGTCATGACACATGGACTGGCCTGGTGTGGTGGTGCACATCTGTGATCCCAGCACTTGAGAGGCTGAGGCAGGAGGATCGCCAGGGGTTGAAGGCCAGCCTGGGCTACATTGTGAGTACAAGACCAGCCTGCACTGCGTAGGGTGACCTTGTCTCAAAAATAAAAATAAAACGGAAAAAAACCAAAACAAACAAGAAAAGACACATGGTTCGGCCTGCAGAAGTATAGGTAGAATTTAGTGCATGGTAGAGCAACAGTAACCCTTTAAGCTAGAAATGGGCAGTGCCACAAAGGAATCTGCATGGAATGCCAATGTGTGTACATTTTTGTGTACATAAGAGTCCTGGGGTTGGGGGAAGTAGGGAAATTATGTTTATCAATATTTACTTAAAAGTTACTTTGGGATTGCAAAAGGTCTTCTACCCTGTCGAGATAGTGAGTGATTTGTCAGGGGCTTTAATCATGTCAGAAACTCACAGGGAAGAAATTTACCAATTCTTAATTTAAACCAGGACCCACCCCAAAGCAGGAGGCTCTTCAAAGAACATTTCCTTTCCTGCTACTGAACTGTAGGCCTCCGCACCCAGGGATACTGTACGCCTTGTTCTGCAGCTGGAGGGCCAGGGATCAGAAGGAATGCACAGTGTGTGAACTTAAAATGTCATTGTGCTGTGTGGGCTCACTTTAGGTTGGAGACCTAGTAAATGATGTATTATTCATTGAAGTCTTTGTTCCTTTACATAAGCATGCTATTTTGGACCCCCTCCTCCTTGTGCCCCAGGCCCCTTAATGTCTCACTTCTAGAAGATAGCATCATCTGCAAAAATAGAGCCTGGTTTGGAACCTGTCTAAAGTTTCTCAGCTGGGAAGAGGATGGGTCAGCGATGGAGGCGTTCCTGCTGGTACCTGTAGGTGCCCGCTTGACAAGGACTCTTCAGACAGAACTAACTCAATTGATTGCAGGAAGGCAGCTGGGAGGGCTAGCTTCTGGAAGCAAAAGACCGAGAGTTTCGTTATAAATTACAAAAAGGACAGATCTGGAAGCAAAACCACGTCTATTTTTTTCCCCTTGATTTTGTTTTGTTTTCTTTTTGAGGCAGGGTCTCACTATGTAGTGCAGGCTGGCCTTGAACTTGCTTATGTGGTCAGGTTGGCCTCGAACTCATGGTGATCTTCCTGCCTCAGCCCCTAGGGTGCCGGGATTACAGGCATGGGCCACTACACCCTGCCGTATTTTTCTTTTTCTAATGAATTAATTCATTGCTAGAGAATTAACCAGGGCCTTTGAACAGCGCTACACACTAGCCCTTTTTGTATTTCTTACTTTGAGAGGAGGTTTCCGCGAAACCGCCCAGGCCGTGCTCAAACCCAGCCATCCTGCCTCAGCCTCCCAGAGTGCGAGGATTACACGGGTGCAAACTCCCCCCCACAACCACACAAGAAATAATGAGGACGCAACAGAAATAGAAGAAGTGATTGGGTCCCGGAGCAGTGTTTCCCTCCAACCAGTAGGATTCAGGGTGCAATTAGCTGTAGGTGTGGGGGTAAACTGAGGCAGTTCCTGGCTTGAACATCTGGTGTTTTTGTGTTACCTGATTCCACTCCTGGCCACCGCTAATGGGACCTTTTGTTCTAAAATGAAAACATACAGCGAAGGGACCGGACGGGGCTTTCACGTGGGGGATGTGTGCTTCTGCATTCATCTCAGAGGTTTTAGTTATCAAAAACAAAGCAAAGCTGATGTATTAGCTTGTGTTACAGCCTGGTGGGTTCGAGGGTGTCGTTGCTTTCTGTAGTTTTGCTGTGCTTGAACCAAATTTATTAACCAAGAAGGTTGTGGCAAGAATTAGAGGAGCGGAACTACGGGGAAGGCTTTGAGCTCTGGGTCCAACGTCAAAGCTTCAGGGACAGAGGACACCGCCTCGGCACCCTTGGACCAAGCCTAGGGGTGGGAGGGGGTGTCCCTGAAGGTTCCACGCCCCGCCCTGGCCCCGCCTCCACCCCCGCCCTGGTTCTGCCTCCATTCGCCCTGGCCCCGCCTCTCTCCGTGACGCCGCCCCGTCTCTAGGTAACCGCGAGAGGTTAAACAAGGCAGGCAGCCGCGACACCGGCGCGCCTGCCTACCTCCTGCCGGGCTTGGACGCTCGGACCTAGCGCTATGGCCCTGCCGCTGCTGCCGGGCTACAGCTTCAACCGTAATGTGAGTAGCCAGGGCGTCTGAAGTCAGTCCTCAGCCGAGTTTGGGGTTCAGTGGTCTTGGGGCATGGCCACCTGCCCGAATCCTCGCCTGTTGTAGCCAGTGGAGAGCTGCAGCTAGTTCTTCGATGGGTTTGTTTCACCTGAGCCCGAATTTGACTGTCCCCCGCGTCTCCAGCTGCAGCTGGATGCTCTTCCTATTGTAGATACCTAAGGGTCCTTGTAGGCGGCAGGACACTTAAAGGTAGCTGGTGGTAGAGTTCTTCGTGTGCAGTTGCTATGCTCCCAACAGCCCTTTGAAGTAGATACTATTTTTCTTCTCATTTTATGGAAGCGGAGGCACAGTGTTAGGACTTTCTTTTGGCGGGAGTATTTATTTGTTTATTTTTTGAGATAGGACCTTACTATGTAGTTCAGGCAAGCTTTGAACTCACATAGTCCCGATCGGCCTCAAACTCTCAGCGATCCTCCTGCCTCAGCCTTCTGAGTGATGTGATTACAGGCGTGCGCTTCCGCAAAGCCCCCCATCCCCCCTGTGTTTTGAGACAGGCTCTTTTTTTCTCCCAACCTGTCTCTACAGCGCAGGAACCTAATGGTTTTTCTCAGTACTCAATGTGAAACAGATAAATATACTTTTTATTTTGTCTTTGGTTTTTTGAGACAGGGTTTCACTGTATAGTTCAGGCTGGCCTCGAACTCCCAGCGATCTTCCTGCCTCAGCCTCCCAAGTGCTAGAATTATAGGCATGGGCTACCACACCTGGCAGTTTTATTATTAATTGGGGAGACTTGTTGCAGTTTAGGGAGGGAGGTGGCATCTAGGTAAGGGTTCCAGCAACTTATTAAAATTCATCCTAACCAATATATACAGAGGGCCAGATGAAAGCAGAAAACAAAACACAGAAACTCCCAGCATTAAAGAACTTCTGGCAATAAGTAACACTTTACTTAAGTGTTTATTTAGTGGTACTGGGCTGAGCTACATCCCCAGCCCTTTTTTTATTTTTAAGTTGCTAATTTGCCATTGCTGGAAGTGAATTTGTAATCTTCCTGCCTCAGCCTCCCTGATTGCTGGAATTACAGATGTGTGCCATCATGCCTTGTTAATAGCACCTTATTTAAACAACAGAAGGAAAATGATTCAGGGTTTTGTCTTTTTTGGCTTTGCCAATTGTATCTGCAGGAGAAGATAAGTAATACACTGACGAGAGAGAATAATAAGATGGAGCCACTCAGGGTATTTGAGTAAACCTCTAAGGAGTTTAGAAAGCAGACATCAGATTACCTTTGAACTTTGAACATTGTCTGTCTCTGTTGCCCTAAAGTACCAGGTTTTTGGTAGCTTCATACATAGGTTGCTGAATTCAACTTTGCAGACGGGACTGTGCGTATCCTGGCAGCTGCAGCATTGGCGTCGGTAAGACGGGGCATGTCACCCCAGTAGGAAAGCCTCCTGAGAGGCAGGGCATGAAAGAAGATTCCAGAAGCAAAGAAGCATGTGGGTAAAAGTAATTTTAGTAAGAAAGGAAAGTAGAGCCTACAGTGTTGGGCTCAGCAAAACTTCTGAGCCGCCCTGCCTGCCGCCTGCACATGTACACAGCTCTCACGTGCAGTGACTAAGTGTGGTAAGGAAAAAGTGTTTGGAGGAGATGATGTAAAATCCGCCATATTGTACTGAGTGTATTTTGCTTTTTATTTCTTTATTTTTTTTAATTGTGAAGAATACATACACCGGGAAATGTACACTGGGACAATCACAAAGTGAACATCAAGAAATACAATCTTGTTAGGGTTTCATGGTATAGCAGTTACCTAGCATATGCGAGGTGCTGGGCTCCATCCCCAGTGCCACGCAAATCAAACAAATAAAAATATTCAGGACTCCAAAAACGACCCTCCTTCCTTAACAAATAATTTTTTTTTGTTCTTTTTGTCTGTTTTTTGGAGACAGGGTCTCCCTGTGCAGTTCAGGCTGGCGTTGAGCTCACTTGGTAGCCCAGGCTGGTCTCGAACTCGCAATGATCCTCCTGTCTCAGCCTCCTGAGTGCTGGGATTACAGGCGTGCGCCCCCACGCCTGGCTATCATGACTAGCATTGAAAAAAATGGGGGTGTTGTAGTCAGGCTTTACAGGCAAATAGATTTAATACAGGACACATAATTTATAGAATTGTTTTATAACATTCACCCAAAGAGTCAAATGCAAAAGAGTGCAAGCGATTTGTCTATGCACTAGAGAGACCCAAAGAATCCAGCTGGGCTGGGAGCCCATGGCAATGCCCCCGAGTCCAGCTGGAGGCCAAGAGCTCACAGCAATGTCTCATGCACGTCTGTTTCACAGACTGTGCTGGGAAGGCCCAAAGGTCAGTGGTGGAAGCTAGAAAGTCTGCACCAGCAGGGTGAAGGATCTGTGCCAGCAGGCTGAGGGGTCTGCTCTGGAGCCAGGAAGTGATGCTTAGAGTAAGGACCAGAGCTCCCCTGAAAAGTACCGCAGCCGTCCTCAGCAACAGCTGAGGACCCCTTGAGTTAAATCTGGAAAGCCAGCATGACAAACTTCTTCAGGAGGATCAACAGCACACCATCTTCCCCTCCAGTTCTCCTTTTATGCAGTTGGCAACAGTCCTCAGGTGGGCCTCCCACCAGGCACCATGCTGACTCGATTTGGCTGGGTGTTACAGGCTGGCCATTAGCTGATCCACCACAGGTGGGTAAAAAAGGTAGCAAGAAGAATTAGAATAGAATTGAAAATCCAGAGTGTGCTAGGCTTGGCAAGGAAGACAAGTGTTGACTCATGAACTTCTGCTTTCTCATGCACATTTGTGCATACGGGTGCGTGTGACTCGGGCTGTGCTAAGATATGGCTGTAAGGCTGGGGATTTAGCTCAGCGGCACAGCGCCTGCCTGGCAAGCGCAAGGTCATGAGTTCGATTGTCAGTACCAAAAAAAAGCAAAAAAAGAAAATATGATATGCCTGTTACTGCGGTGGTAGTCAGTGTTAGAAAAGCATTCCTTAGAGCCATATCTCCCATGTCTTCCCTTGGTGTTTTAAATTCGTGTCTTCAGTTTCTTTGAAGGTAAGATCTAGTCTCTATCTTCAGGGAGCCTCGACAGTGCCTAATCAGCCTTTTCCCATCTTTTAAGTTTTTAAAATTTAAAAAATTGTTTAAAATTTTATTTATTGGTTTTTGAGTTACTGTCTCACTATGTACCTCAGGCTTGAACGCGTTGTGTTGTCTATGCTGGCCTCACATTTGTGGCAATCCTCCTGCTTCAGCTTCCCAAGTGCTGGGATTACAGGCATGCACTACCACACCTAGCTAGGTTTTTAAATTTTTATAAAGTTTTTGAGCTAAAATTCACGTAACAAAATCACCATTTAGCAGTATGGAATTCAGTGTCCCTTATTATGTTTGGCATTGTACAACCAGCACGTCCAACTAGTTCTAAAGACATTTGCCTCAGTCTAAACCTCAATCTTTGCCCTGGAGGAATCTTTGAAATGATTTTCAGGTCTCAGGAACTCCTACATAAAAATTATATCTACTGCCCATGGTGCATTGGCACGATCAGCAAGGTGCAGATGTAATAATGGTTGTTGTTTTTTCGGGGGAGAAGTGCTAGGTTTCTGTGGGGGCTGTTACTGATTCATCCATGTCATTTACCTGCTCTTCGTCTTTAAAGGTCATCATCAGCTCTAAAGTGGGTGGGAGCATGGTAGTAGAAGATTTAGGTTAGTTTCTTTTCTTTTTTTGGGGGGTGGTCCCTTTCTATCTTACTGAAGTAGGTCTTAAAAGGTGTCCTCATATTTTATATTAAAGGTTGCTAGTGAGGAATGATACATAGTGAGGTATAAGCGAGAGCAGGTTGTCTCTTATTAAAAACAAAAAATGACTTGCAGCAAAAATGTTTGTTTTATATTTGGTACTAAGGATTGAACACATGGGCCTATCTAGCCCTCACCTACATCCTTGGCCCCTTAAACCTGCCCCCCCCCCCACAACCTCCCCAGTTTCCCAAGTAGCTGAAAGTACAGGCTAGAGTGACCCACAGCTGGGCTTTAGCCAGTTTGCTTTTGTTTTTTGGGTGTGTCTTTGTTTTTGAGACATCACTATGTAACCCAGGCTGGCCTCAAACTCATGGCAGTCCTCCTGCCTCAGCCTCCTGAGTGCTGAGATTAAAGGCATGTGCCACCATGCCCAGCTGCCAGATTTTTAAGGAAAAAAGACAGTGTAATTAAATTTACCTTACCCTTCTTTTTTTCATGCACTTCAAAAACTCAAGGATCAGTTGAATTTATTTTTCATAAGCAATCTAAGATTATTATTTCTGTTTTAATCTGTTGGATTACTTTTTCAGAAAGTAGGTTTCATGGATGTAATTTAAAGGGGTAGATTTATTTTAGTTAAGCCATTTGTAGCATGAAAATATGGTGACAATGTTAGATAGTAAGATTACTAAAACCATTCAAGGCCTTATGAATAAAAATATAACCTATGACACAGTTTTATGTTGGATTTAAGAATTGAATCTTTGAGGTAATGGCTCATGCCTGTAATCTCAACACTTGGGGAGGCTGAGACAGAAGGACTGCTGTGAGTTCTAGGCCAGCCTGAACTGCATAGTGAAACCCTGTCTCAAAAAATACCAAAAAAAAAGAAAATTAAACCTTTTTTTGGTAACTCGTTGATTTGTTGAGGTTCAAATGGAGGCAATTCTAAAATTAAAATCCTGATTTCCTCAGAGATATATGGTACATTATTGTTTATTTATAAATTATTATATATAAATATATAGTTTTGTTTTTTTTTTTTTCTTCTTCTTTTGTTTTCTTTTCAAGGTAGGGTCTTGCTATGCAGTTCAGACTGGCCTTGAGCTCACTTTGTAGCCCAGGCTGGTCTCGAACTAGCAGCTATCCTCCTGCCTGAGCCTCTTGAGTGCTGGGATGACAGGCAAGCACTACCACGCCCGGCTAGTGTTTTCATTCCTTTTTTTTTGTTTTTCTTTTGG